AAAGAAGGAGAAGGATAATTATGGCTTGCATTTGCTTTCAGAGAGCGTTGAGGACACGAAGCCATCTTTAAACAAGTACCTGAGCATCCTGTTTGGCCAAAGAGATGTCAACATTTGGCTTTTCATCACGATTTCCCTAGAGAGAATAGAAGGAAGTAGCATTGAGCGCAGAAAAATATTATGTGGCACAGTGCAGAAGTTAGGTCAGAACTTCTCTTTATGAGAAAGCTCTTTGTAAGTCCAGCAAAATGTGCTGATGCTACCTGACAGAGAGACACCAGGAGTCTGCGAAAGTGTCCAGACGTGTCGCTGCTAATAGAATCCTCCAGGCTCTTCCCGTACTCTGGAAGGAAGGAGGGGCTTTTTAGGAAAATATATTCATTTCCATAATATTTGCATAGGACATTTCAGACACTGACTTTTTCAGAATTCATTATTTACCTGTTGATCAAATAAGCCTGCTCAGCTTAAAGCAAAATATACCCTTATATTAATAAATTTAACAAAAACAAACAAACAGGTCTTAATAATGTCTTCCAACAAGAATTTGAATAAAAAGTAGAAAAGCCAACATTAAAACTCACCAGCTTTGTAGATTTTGACAATTTCCTGAATCTCTGAATTGGAGCGTGATGACAAAATCTCAATGAGACAAGCCTCATCAGTTCCTGCACCCTAAAACAATTACAGAAAAGCATAGCGAATGCGATCAACATTAATTTGTAGCCAGCCATTTCACATTCACTTATTTTCCTAATGCATGATGAGCGAGATATTGTGGTTTGGGCAGGAAAACCAAAACTGAAACCATTTACTGAGACAACCGCATGAGCTTCCAACCTTTATAGCCTCTCTGAGTTCAGATGCATCAAATTGTGCTGGAGTCTTCAGCATGGCAAGAACCAGATCTTCAAAGTTTCCAGTTAGCTCAGACTTCAGATCCTTGGTTAAATCCTAAGCAGAAAAACAGAAACATCTGACTGCAAAGTCAGCTAAGATAAAACTGTCACAAAAGCATTATTATTTATGAAAGTACCTTTCCATAAGTAGTTTTATAAGCTGCTATCAATGGAACCCTCTGCTTTTTTGAACGATTTCCCAGAAGTTCAATAATGGCATTTTCATCGGTGCCTGTCAAGATGTTATTTTGTTAGAATCAATTTATGATGTGTAAAAGGAGAAGGAGCAAATGAACTGCTAATGGGAAACAATATTATATCTGATGGGTTTAGCATACTCAAATGCATATTTTACTGACCAAAACCCTTCATTGCCTTTCGAAGAACTTCAACATCCTTCAGTGGATCAGCCCCTGGAAAGTCTTTAATAGAACCCCTGTACCCTGTCTAAAAAGCATAAGAAATAATAAACACATATATAAATAAATTATACATATATCTGACATGATAAAATTCAACACAGTAACAAGTGTGTATGCTGTGGTAATTCTATTCGTGTTAAATACCACAGCATGCACCTGCCACATCTTACAGGTATGGCAGGGGCCTGAGGGTTGGAGGGACCCCCACTTCCATATCCAGGCATTGAAGGGTTAGTGGCAGGTGCTCCTGGGTAACCTGGCATGGGTTGGCCTGGGGAAGGGCCTCCTGGATATCCCTGCGGAGCTCCTCCTGGCTGCAAATGAAGGACAGCTAAGTACATGGTGACAAATGCATATTAAACAAATAAGGTTCAGATAGGAATGGTAAAGATAAGGAAACTTAAGCAAATGAGATTTAGCCTTTAGATTGAGCCAGTCCATATTGTATTAGCGAGCTGACACGTAAGAGGTGAAGAGTGAGATAAGAATTTACATACCGCTCCATAGCCACCTGGTGCTGCACCCCAGCCTCCACCTGAAAGAAAATATTGGCTTAAAGAAAGAATAGTACCTCACAAATGTAATCTGTCATGCCTTCTTCTTGGAGCCTCACCTGCTGGAGGCATGGATGGATAACCTCCTGCTCCAGGCTGAGCAGGGTATCCACCAGCTTGGGGAGGGAAGCCTCCAGCTGGAGCAGGGTAACCACCCCCCTGGGGTGGATAACCCCCTGCTGCTGGTGGGTAACCACCTGCCTGGGGTGGGTATCCGCCTGCCTGTGGGGGGAAGCCTCCGCCTGCAGGTGGGTAGCCACCTGCTGCAGGTGGGTAGCCACCTGCTGCAGGGGGGTAGCCACCTGCTGCTGGTGGGTAGCCACCTGCTTGGGGAGGATATGCCCCTGGTTGAGGCGGGTAGCCTCCCGCCTGTTGTGGGTATCCTCCAGACTGAGGAGGGTATCCTGGGTAGCTCATCTTCAAAACCTGGAGGTGAAATAAAGCTGGAGACTATCACTGTGTAAATATTTGTTTTTTATGTAAAACTTTTTCAGGGAATTTATGTTTTTGTCTAAAGAATGTTTACTGAATGGGCTCGTTAAATCTCATATAGAGCAGAAACAAAACAAACATTTTCCCCAAGACAATAGGAAATTGTTTAAATGTCTCTCACCACTTCCACTGACCTGTATCCCTGTCATATGATAATGACATTGCAATGTGTTTACTGTTTATGAAACTGTGCAACTTTTGCTTTCCCATTCTCAGAAAACACTATAATATAAACCCTCAATAATGCAAACAAACAACAGTTGCCAAATCTTAATAAGTAATAATGTTATTTGGACAAAGCAGATTAGAAAAAAATTAGAAGTAAAGTGGGTCATCTGTTAAGTGAAAGGTGAGTGGTTTAATACCTGAATCTTATAGTCAGCATGTCAAAGAAATTCTAAACAGAACAAATTTTGTTCAGGGCAAAAAGATAATGAACTGCTAGTTTGAGTGTGAAGTTGAAGTAATGTCCAGACAGTTGTCCAAAGATATCATTTTTATGAGTTATAACGAAGACAAAAATGCTTGAATTTCAATGAATATAACTATTTACTTCGTTGTTATTCCTTATCTGTTCATATTTTGCAATGTGTAGATAAAAGACACAGCTCTTCCTTAAAAAGGAATGCATGTATTTTGCAAGAACAACTGCGTAAACACAACTTAAAAAGTTAACGACAGCCAAACAAAAGACAATTTTTCGAAATTACTGATTTTAGTTTGAACACAAAGACCGAGGGTGTGTTACAAATGAGTTCTTGGAAAGGATTTGGTTGCTGACACTCCCTTGCTTTTCAGGTTTTATTTTCTCAGTATTTTGAAACAATGCCTCGGGCACTCGTAGCAAATACCACCAGTTAGGCAACAGAAAAAATACATAAGCGGGGGGGAACTCACATAAATTCCTACAGTAATTAAAAACAACTAACTGTTGTTGTTAGAACATGTTTCGACTTTGAACGTCGAAAGGCTCTTTTAACGTCAAAAGCAGTAAAACCAAAGTCCTTACACTCAAGTCTGCGTGAGAGCATCACAGGCCTGCATTTTCTCAACTAACCAGCTATGATTTTACTGTTCAATAATAAACGCATAATAATAAAAACCTTGGCCCGTTCGTGATGGTAAGAAGCATTAAGTGATTTAACCGTGTGCCCTGACGCAAAAGAGCAGAAACGACCCAGCCGTCCGTTAACGTTACACAACACTTTCAAACCGAGTTACTGCTTTAGCATGTAGCATCCGCCCTGGGCGACTGATAAAATATTTATTTTAATTCCTTACGTACATTTTACAAGCGCTAGCGTGCCGCTGTGACGTCCCCAAAGCAGAAAGTTAATTGCTAGTTGCTATCTGGTAACGTCACCATTAAACGGCTGTTTGTTTGATCAGGCGAAGCTAAACGAAACAAAAATAAGTCAACAGCCAAAATGAGCCGCTACATTTCTGCAAGTTCCTCGCTGTTGTTTATTGCAACGTAAAGAAATATTTGTTTTAAATATATTGCAGTGGAAAAAAACTACAGATTAGAGTTACTTACTTGGCAGATGCGGGCGTCAGATCCAGGAAGAGCCAGGAAGGCAGAGACCAGCCTGAATGTGGGTGGGTCCTAGTTTCCGTGCTAGCAGTAATAACCTTTGCTTTGCTTGTTGTTACCGCTGGAGATAGAGACCACTGTTGAGTCAGAGGGCTGTGATGTGTCATTCTCTCCACACTGAGCACTGGAACATTGTTTGGCTTTAATTGATTAAAGTTGCTTCCATACAGGGACAAAAACCAAAAGATGATTTGTAACTTAATAACAAAACATTAAAAGTGTTTTATAATGAATCTACCCCCCAATGAAACCTGTGTATCTATGCAAACAGGGGTTTTCTGTGTATGCACTGCAAATGCTCCAAACTTCCACATCACACTTGTTTATTTACTTTTTAAATTTCTATTTTCATGTCTCTGGGCCACATGACCTCTTGTGTAATACAAATTGTTATTTAAAAAAGCATGAATCATAGCGGGTAGGACATCCCCAGGACTTTCATTTGGATCGTAATTTAGATTATTTTTGAGCCTCCAAAAATGAATGGTTAAACACATTATTTAAAAAAAAAAACCACGCGTGGGCAATAAAAAAAACCCCACTATTTTACAAGTCATGGGGTTATTACATGTTTTAGCACGACATTTTAGCTTTCTTACTGAATTAGTCCGTATGAAGCACTAGATGGCAGCAGCCCACTTCCTCAATAGAATCCACTGGGCTTTTCATCAGCTCAAATCCACTTTGAGCTGACACCAAAGCAATTTTGTGTGCGTTTTATATTTGGAAATCATTAATTATAGTAAACATGAAGAAGTTTATCGACACTCTCACGAATGAAGGAATTGAAAACCCGATATTAAACAAAAGAAATATAAAGCACTTCTGTAAATATGTGAAATCTCATATAAGAAGTTTAATGTGGCTTTTTTTAAATTATCATGATCACTTGTGTTATATTTAGACGATTAAACAAGTACAGAGAAGTTCCCTTCTTAATACAGATGCCAGCGAAGGTAATCAGAAAGAGATGCAAACTCATGTTGGCCCTCCTATTCTCTGTGACGCAACGCAGAGTCCTTGCCTGTTTGCTGCTCCAGTCCTCCAGCTGCCATACAGCCTTTCCATTTCAAACTTACACCGAGCCCCTCCTGTGACTTCTCTCCTGTTAGTGGAGTCCTCCTCCCAGGGCTTCCCCCAGGTGAACACACGCAGAGATTACGCCCAGTCAGGCGCTGCAGGGGGATGACTGGAAGAAGTTGGGTTGTCCAGAGAAACCGGCGGTTCTGACGGTGCTGTTTTAAGAGGAGAGGCGCAGACCTCCAGAAGACACCATGATGTCTGCCGTAGAGACTGGTGTGTACCAGCCCGCGCAGCTTCTCAGCTGGGTCTACATGTCCTTACAAGACACGCCGAGTAGCGCTTTTGACGGCTTCAAAGTCGAGTCGGACTCCTCTCCTCTGGACGTGAGCACCTCCAAGCGCAGCGCAGCTGATCTGAGCTCCAACTATCTCAACAACTTCTTCCATCTGAGCAGTGAGGTAGAACGCATGTGATGCTGTCTCAATCATTAAGTTGCGATGGCAGGTTATTATCTCTGTATTTGGATTAAATCTTTATCTTTAATGTTATTTATTTATTTATTTATTTGCTGCAAGTCTCTCCCTGAATGTTCTACTCAGATATTTCAGCCTTGGTTACTTTGCTGCCCATACTGCAAACCTCACCTGCATGCCTTCATTTGGGTTGCCCTGCGGTGACTGGGTAGCATATGAATATGCGTTTTGTACCCAGATATAGTGCCTGAGTGTGTTCAGACTGTTCTGGTGTCAGCCAGACGGGGGAATGGTAGGTTGAGAAAGACCTCTCACAAGCTTTCAAAAATGTTAGAGTTAGCCACCCCAGCCCCTTGGCCTCTGCATGGTTAGAGCAGTATACAGTGTTAATTCAGTGCTTAATAAACTACTGACTAATTGAAGAAAGGGATAAGGAATGTTTTGTTTTGTTTTTTTTAAAAAGCAAACTGAGTACTTTATGATGTTTTCTTTAAATTTTGACATCTAAATCCACAAGTTTTTACTTGAGACATGAGACATTTCCACATATCTGGCATGTGTGCTTTAAGTTCACGCATGCCAAGATATCTAGTGGTTTGCTGTCTCTTGCATAAGATCTCACTGCTCTAAAGCACATGTGCATCTGATCACAATTCGTTATTGTGCGATGCCTTCAGAGTAAACAGTGTCCGCAGGCTGTTCTTCATGTTGGTTGGCCCTGCAGTGCCATAGCACCCATCTCCTCTAGAAGCACAATGATGCTGATTATGTCGTGCCAGAAGAACCATTTGTAAGAATGCATGACAAAGGCATTTTGTTCTAATGAGGAAATGGACACTATTGGTTCACACAGTAAGGACTGCACATCTGCAGAAATCAAATAAGGTTGGCTACTGTCAGGGAGACAAACAGGAGAATCAATCAGGGTGATGGACTGACAGACCCCGTGAAATGTTCTTTTATAGCAGAGTCACAACAATAACCTTCTGTAACTTTCTGTGTTTTGGGGATATGGCAAACACTCTTGTGTAGAGCTGAAACTGATGAAATGAGTAAAATCAAAAATTAAACAATCATCTGACAAACAAAAAAGCCCAAATCTGCTAACTCCAAAGTAAAAACCTCTGATAGTTGAGTATTTCTGTGTTTTGATTGATTTTGAAGCTATTTGAATACACTACATTGGCCTTTTGGAAGTTATGTTGGGCATTACTTATGAGCTTCGGACATTTGTAGACATAGTTAAGAGCGCGTATCAATGGAAAAATAATCATGATTTGTTTGGGTGGGGGGCGTTGCTTTTCTCTGACAGAGCTTGAACAATAATTTCTACAAGAGGACTTCACCTTATGGATCTCTCAACAATATTGTGGATGGCCTGAGCTCACTGGCAGACCATTTCTCAGACCTTTCCCTGTCTCCTGAGACACGGAAGCCCAGCAAAAGGCCGCCACCCAACTACCTATGCCACCTTTGTTTCAACAAAGGACACTACATCAAAGACTGCCCTCAGGTGAGACACAGTGACACTTTACATCAAACAGCTGCACAATATGTGGCTCATTTGAGCTGTCTATCAAACGCATGTGAAGTGCTGCATTAATAATACATTTGTAAAGTAAATGTGATGACAAATCCAACAAATCACATCCAGTTTCTTCATCACATTTCTAGGTATTCTTTCACAATTGTACTGCACTCAATTTAAACTCTACATTCCAAGTTAGAGTATTATGTTTGTATTATTCTTTTTTTTTAGTGTGAAATACAGTCCTCAGCACATATTTGAATTAGGTGTACCACCACAGGTTGGTAATGAGCAGCAGATGCCAGATTGGATCTCGGTGCTGGCCTTAATGAAAGATGATAGGTTTTTCTGTGGAACTAGGCACGACCTCCACTCCAAACATGAAAGAAATATTACCAGTGCTTTATGTGCAGCTGTGGTTCCCCATTGATCATGTTCTGAAGGAAATGCTTGACATTTGTTAGGTGTAATGGAAATAATAAAATGACTGATGGATAGGATGTGTCCAAGAAACAAAGAAGCAAAAACTTGAATTTAAAATAGCAGGTCAACTTTTACTAATCAAATGTATCTATATATCCATCTACCCATCCATCCTTTTTTCTGCTTATCCAACTGGATCACACACACAAACACTCTCTGTCTAGCGATATATAGATAGATATCTTGTCATACCATGTCACACAGGATATCCCTCTCCAAACATGGCTAGTGATTAGGTAGTTTTTTTTTTAAAAAGTAGAAATTGCTTTCTTTTGCAAAATCTGAAAGCAGCAACCTCCTTTTATAATACGACAGACTATAATACTGGGTGATCAGTTTCAGTTATTTCAGTGTTTGTCAAGTTCCATCTATCAGAAAAGCCAAGTTAAACATATTTTTATGAATATCAATCTCTTTTTGGGGGTGACATATAACAATAGCAGTTTGAGACTTTCAGAAAAAGTCAAAAGAAGATTGCTATTCCATTTGCAGCAAATCATATTTGGCTCCGTTCTGGGAGTTTCCCACCTTTCCATGTGCATGGAAAGTCCAGTATGAGGAGAGCAACAGCAGACCCTCAAGCACAAACAGCATGGGAAATAAAAATGGGTTAAAAGTTGGTTTGAAGTAGTTATAAGCAGGTTAAAGTTAATTAAATAGTAAACCCAATGTGATCACCTTTTAACAGCTACCAAGATTTTAGGCTGAAATTTTGCACTGAACCAAGACTATGCTAACCGATGCTAAATCACAGTTAATTAGATAAAACATTTAAAGCATGTTATTAATAACACAAGGTAGCCTTTTTTTTTTTTTTTTTAACTGTGTGACAAATATCTGTTAGGTGTGCTTAAACCCATTTGCTTTCTTGTGAATGGGAATGCTGCTAGCTTTATGTCTGTAAAGCTAGTAGCATAGAAATACTATTAGACTGTGAGCCAGTGTTTGGGTAGAGCCGGTAAATGGGGAGAGCCAGTTTAGCTCTGTCAAAAAGAACACAACTGCTTATAATTACTGGTTTTATGCTTTTTACAAAAATCAAACATTGTAGATAGCATTACTATGCTTTAGAGGAGCTGGTAGGGAATCTAGTGATTCTACCCTACACCAATTGTTGCTCTTTTTATGCTAAGCTAAGTTAAGCTATCATTCCAGATGACCTACATTTTTTGATGTGAGAGTGATATCAAACTTCTTATCTATTTCATAATATATAAGGAATAAACACATTCTGTAAACCATTCTTTCACTCAAAAACAATGAGTACGAATCTCTTTTTTCTCCCTTGAGTTTGATCGTTCTCTCCTAAAGTCTTGACTCTGCCAACACATGGTAGATTAGTGTACTCTAGCACAGAATACAGCCCATATAGGAATGTAAGGAATGCTGACAGCATATGTGCAGTGACCTTATAGCTCTTCGCACATTCACATCTGTGAACACCTGCCAATTGCTATGAAAAGTAGGTGTATATTCTGTATTTTTCTTTGGTGTCATGAATCACATCTTCATCTAAGTGTATCAAAGAAGGTCCTAACCACACATTAAAGCCACAGACACTTGGTAGAAATATTGACAACCCTTCCTGTTATGCTATTGGTCCTCTACAAGCTTCTGACTCAATCTTCTCACAAGCGTTGATGTTTCTTAGATGTTCTATATGAAAACTTAGTTCTAACTTTTCACTTGTGATTTTATCCCACATTGAACACAAAAAGCTCACTCCTTGACAAGCACTCCTTTAAAACGGGTCTGGAGCCTTTACTAGCTGACAGTGGGCAAAAAGCATGGGCTAACACAGAAATTAAGATAACTATACATTATCAGATTCACAAATACAAATCAGGAACGTGTTTGGACTGTGGAAGAAGCTGTAGCAACCAGTGAAAGTGGGTAAATGTAGAAACTTAACACAACAGGCTACTAGTGGAGCTCTAAAGAAACAGCAGTAACTATTGCGCCGTTGTGCTTTACACAACTTGAGGTGTAGAATTTTTATGAGATAAGCTGCGTCACAATCTTCATCTGTAAATTGTGATTATCTGTTTGTACCTTGGTGTATTGTGAGTAAGTCTTTAGGCTGAGTGTGACGCTAGGAGACAGGGATTATTTTGTGGAGCTGCAGTGGATAGGAATCAAAGGATGTCATGGCTCAGTAAGATGAGAGAAGGATCCACTCAGGAAGTCTGTGCCTGAAGCCTTAAAAGCATTTTCTGGAACATCAAGTCTAAAATTATATGACATTTACATGGCAGGTAATGAAAAAAAATAAAAAGTTTTAGGTATAAGAGAAAATGCTAATGCTGCCATTTGGCATTTCAATAGTTAACATCCTGCTGACAGCACTGTGGAGCGTTGGGTTACTTGCTTCATGAGACGATTGAAACGTCAAAGGAATTGTCAGAGATATTTACGATTCTGCTTTATTGCTATACTCTTTAAATTATGCAAAATCTGGAAACCATTTTTCCTCCTGGCTTTTTGCCACTCTTGCTCTGCTTTAGAAAGATGATGTCAGATTTTATCATGTGTTGCTAATATTTCAGACCCAAAGGGATGATTACGGAGCTGTCGCCATGACAAAAGGTCTCTTCAGTTGAAGTTGTGATGAACGTTCGTCTGAAGCTGTGCCTAATCAACAAACTGCTTTTTGTTCTCGCTGGTTGGAATCTGAGGCATTTTTAGCCAACTGAAGTTTAGTATGCTTTTAGTATGCTTTTGATGTCTTAGGATTGCAGAAAAATAGTTTAAAAAAAAGTTAAAAATCCTTCATACTATATTGTCTTTAAGATTCACATTTCCAAGCAAACGACAGGTACTCATCGAGGGTTTACGTGTTTTTTTCCTTTAACCTAGGGTCACATTTTAATGTCCTCATCCCAGTTAAGTAGCTCGACCTGCTTACAGTAAAGAAAGTATACAAGTGACAGAGTGCTGACAGTAAATGGGTGCGTGGTGGGAAGGGCCTGTGATAAATAAGGAGAGCATTGTTTCTGCAGAGGGGCTATGGAACCAAAGGTCAGGAAGTCAGGCTGTATTGTTCGTACAGTGCTGCTTGGCTGGAGTCATCTCTGTCTCTCTCGCCTTTCTGTCAGTGCAGGGCAGTGGCGATCGGACTCTAGCTACACTGACAGGACTGCATCCGTTTTTGCAAACTTGTGGGTAACATAGGAAGTGCATGTAGGTCTTTACTGTTACAGTTTAATCACACTTGAATGGAGGGGAAAAGTCTGCTTTGAAAATTAGTTGCAGGGATTACAAAAGAAACTTCTTGATCTGATCATTGGCCTTTGAACATAAACATATTTTTAGTTCTCAGTCTTTTTAGTTTGTGCTGCGCCACTTAAAAGTCCAACATTTAGCATAATGTTAATTTGTTGTGTTTGCACTTTCTATTTTTAGATGTAAGACAAGATACACAGTGTTAATAATTATCATGCAAGCTAATGATAGGCAGATGTTTTATTTTTATTTTTGGATCAACACAGTCCAGCTGTTTGCTTGTGTTTAAAGTCTTTTAGCTAGATGTAGATCTATATTTATGCATACAGGCATACAGGCCAGTCAGCATTTTGATCTTGGCAATGATGCATTTACCAAAAAACCAAAAGTTTAAACATAAAACAGTATTCAACTGTATTTGGTACTTCTGAGAAATGTAATTTGACTATAAAATGAAATTACAGGAGGATGATCTCAATATTTACAAAGTTTTTATTTGACTGAAATTAGGTGAGTATCAGATTCGTTTTGGGCTGGATAAAGTGAATGACACTGAACTGGACAATCTCATGTAACCCTGTCTGATTACTGTTGCTGTGGTCCTTTTGTTTTCACTGGTGATAACTGTCTTATCTACACACAATATCCTGCCTGGCACTTCTGGTTAAACATCTGCTGAGGATGATGCAAAAGATAGGGGAAACCCTGGAATTCAGGATAGATAGCCTTCATATGATAAAGAGTATCGTCGGCTCAAGGCTAAGGAACACATATAGGAAAAATGCTGTAGAGATCACTTTTATTATGGTTCCATATTTTTAATTTTTTCCTAAATGTAACTCAAACACATATTGAATTGAAATTGGACATATTTTGCTGTTCCAACCCACCATCTGTTCCTGTCATTCAGTCTTTTGAGAAACATAATACCTATAGTTCAGTGGAGCTCAGTCAGATTTTGGACCAATCAAAGTGCTTGGTCCCCCCAGACTCCTGCATTTGAGAAAGATGCATACAAAATGTCCATATGTCTGTGTGATAATCATTCTCCTTGCTCTGTGTGCTTTCAACACTGGGTCTGATTGATTAAAACTCTACAGCACTACGACGGAAAATACAGAACCAGTCATCTGCTCTTTGGCCTCCAGATGTTTGTATCTAATCATATTCATGTTGGATTAAAGAAAAGTTCATCCACTCTGTGTTTCAAATGTGCAACATTTGTAAAAAAGCTTTGCAGAAAGATCACAGCTTCGGGCTGTATCTGCATAAAATAATCTTTTGACATCTTGATGTTTCCGTAAGTGGAACATTTGGCCTTGATTTGCTCTGGAAAAGAGGAAACACCATTGTGTAAGACATAAGTCAGCATCTACTGGCCAGGAAGAGACTGATATCTTATTTCCTCGAATCACTGCTCTGTGGTTCGAGCCCACGGTCGTGGCGAAGCTGCTAGAAAAACTTTATTAAACTCGGGATGAGAATAGAAGTTTTGAGTTGAGGACCTATGACACAGGGAGAGCAGCAGCGCACAAACCAAACAGCTTCATCTATTCAAAACGTGTCAAAGTAAAGCAAGTTAGAGCAATTCTTCAGAGAACAGTGCATAAGTCGACACATCCTATATTTTAAGTGGTAGGCACGCCACTAGGTTTGCAAAAGACTGTGGCATATTTGTTTGTTATATGGAGTTTTTATCCTTTTTTTTATTTAGCTGGACTACAGCTGATGTATCAGATGTTAAATTATTATTTCATTATTTCTTCATAACAGCTGTGAACCCCTAGGGCATCCAAACTTACTCAGATGTGTTGATTATTTATGAATTGGAACATTTGTTTCAGTTTTTAAAATATGCACTATGGTGAAAAAGACAGCCTTGTAAAAGTTGCTTGGGTTTAAAAGTATGCATGTCGTAATGTTATCACTTTTAAAATAAGCAGCTGCTCAACAAACTAGAATCCAGCCTAAGATGATGTCTTCTAATTCGTTTTGTTTGACAAATGCTGCTAAAGCCCTAAATATTTGTTTGATAATCATATAAAACTAAAAAGCAGCACATCGTCATATTTGAGAATCTGTAACCAGTTGAATTTTGGTTTACTGCTGCCATCAAATTTGTCCTCTTAAAAACGCAGCTGTTTTAATAGTCTCTCTTTGGGGCTCGTGGGAATTGAGGCATTTGTTGCTCTTAACCCTCCTGGAGAGTTGATTTCACAAGATAATGAAAACTATCTCTTAAATCAGCACAAGAGTCTTTAAAACACAGGCGACCTTTTGCTGCGGTGGTCAGCCCAGGCATGATTGTGTTGTTTTGCTTTGCTTAACAGCTGGACTTCTCCATGGATGCTGTGGGGGTCTGACACAAATTAAACCCAGCGAGGGACAGAGTGTGGTGGGTTTGTTAGTGTGGAGTAATTGACCACATGGTATCCAGTAGGCTTAGCTGTGCTGAGTTCTCCAGGATGAATTCTCTCGTGGGGGTATGGGAGTAGGGGAGAGTGAATGAGGGACTGGCGAATGGAGACGGGGGAGGGGGGGTGGATTTGGAGTACTCCATTGTTTATCCTGATGGTTTCCAGATGATGGCAGAGGGAGGCAGCCTCCTCCTGGGTCTCTCTCACCAGGCTACAAGGATCTGGGCCAAGCTTATCTGCTGCAGCCTACAAATCTGGCTTTGCATCCCTCTATGCAGTCCGGGGCTAATTTAAATAAGACAACATAAGTATTGGCTGTGAAACTGAATATGTTGTAATACACATAATAAATGAATTTCACAACTTATTTATCTTAAAAGAGTTTCTCACATGTGGTTTCAGACTGAAAGGTTTTGGGGTTTTAGGCCTGCTGTTTGTTTCTGTGTTTTATTTTCTGTGTATGACAAAGAAAATTGAATTGAATGAAAATTGTTCTCAGAAACTGCACTTGACCAAGTCTAAAAAAACACGGGCAATGGAAGTAAAGTAACCTCTGCAAACAAAGACCAATCCCAGCTGCCTTCGCTGATATTAGTATTGCTGCAGTCCTTAACTTTTCTACATATCAGGAATGCAGATTTTGATATAGCACACATCAGAGGGAGAAGATAGCTTCTGCTGTGTGCTATATCAGGAACTGCTTCAAAGGGAATTACTTCAAATGGCCTGTAACTGCTGGAAAAATGCTGCCTAAATGAAATGAAAGGCATAGGAAGGCGTAACTTAATTACATGTACTATTTACACATGGACACAACTGTGTACAGGCTTTTTACTGAAAATCTTAAGCCTCATCAGTAATGGTCTCAGTGGGAGGGGGGGCTGTCAAGAAGCCATTCTTAAGGAAGGGAAACAGGCGGAAAAGGATGAGATATGCCAAATTACACAAGAACTGGACTGAAAATTAGTTGCAACAGGTCTTGTGGAGTGATGCATTTAAATTTGAAATGTCTGATTCAAAACAGCATCAGTATGTAATGAGGAGGTGGAATAGTGAGTGTCAACAGTAATCTATAAATCATGGTGGAGACTCTGGTTTTGGGCTGTATTTCAGTCAGTGGTGTTGGAGATTGTGTCAGAACTGATGAAATGAAGAGCGCAGAAATGTATTTTCAAAGATTTATCCACCATGCAAAACCATCTGGAAAGCATCTGTTTGTCAGCGGCTTCATTTTTGAGGATGACAGTGATCCCAAACACGCTACCAATAAAGTAAAAGCTTATCTGGATAGAAAAAAACACAGTGGGATAGTGTAAGTCATGGATTGGCCTCCCCAGAGCCCAGACCTTAACATTTTTGAAGCAGTGTGCGATCATCTTCACAGAGAACAGAGCAAAAGGCAGCCAACATCTAAAGAAGAGCTTTGAATGTCCTTCAGATAGCCTGGAGAACTATTCCTGAAACTTACTTAAAGAAATTACAAGAAAGAATAAAGTCTTACTAAGGGAGTTCAGCCTGATGTGTGTATATACAGTGTCATATGTATGCGAAAATGGCCCACTGATCTGATGGATTCAGTCAATCTTTCCTGCTTTCCATTGAGAGTGTCCATTCACTTTCAGGTCAAAAGTGTGTTTTCATTTGTTGGCTGTCAGTGTGACATCTTTGATCAGGGCAGTGGAAACTACAGCGTGTGCAGTGCCCCTCGCTGCCCTGTGGGCTCCAGACTTTAGGTAGAGTTTGTTTTGCTTGTTTTGAAGAGTGAAAGCTGTTTCCTTCTTCAGGAAAACGATAATCTGTCTGCTGTCTCTGTATGCTTGAGAACAAGGGGCAAGCATCAAAAGCGATCTCCCACAGTGCCCCTTGGTGGCCGAATGAGACAAACACATGCTTCAAAATGATTCACAGCGCATTTAGCAGATTTGGCTGATGGAACTTCACAACCTGTTTTGTTTCACATATTAAGGACTGGAAATGAATAAAATTGGAAATGATCAGTGAGAAGCTTTGAACCTGACATGTGTTTCTGCGGTGAAATAAAAGCAAAGCATTATGTGAACTTCTCTGTTGTTGTGGATTCAGGCCTGATTCGATCTTAATTTTGACTTGCCCTACTTTTCATCCAAGATGCTTTTAATTCAAACCAGTCTTGTCGAGAGGATTTTCTTTTTTCTTTTCTGTGATGGGCTTAGAATTTTGTCATGTTACACCAGTGCAGAGTTCATCTGGGTTTTATTTCCTCCCTGCTAAGATCTTTGTGTTCTGATTGGAGGATTGTGGCCAGCTGGGAGGGATGACTGATAGCCTAAGGTATTTGTCCTATAGAAGTAAGCCCTCTCCAATTGGTCCCTCCGCAGGCTAGGGCCTCCTTTATAGTCTCCTGGGAACACAGCTGGAGGGAGGGAGTTCATTTCTAATGGGAAAGCTGAGACTCTTTTTGTGTCCAGCAAATAAATTACAACATACAATATCATCTAACATCTTTGGAATTAACCGCTGAAACTTTTCTGTTTGCTTTCATAGAACCAAGAGTCTTGTAATTTCCTACACTATCCCTCTAAAATAAGTTTTCTTTGATTAGATTACTTTGTAATATAAGTCAATCCTTTTAGGATTGTTAAAGCACCAAAGCAAATGATTTGACAAAACATAATCATCCCATTGCTGAAAAAAAAAACCCTCTCCATAAATTCTCCTGACCACCAACAGTTCTGCTATCAGGATGTTTTCTAATTACATGAAGCTTTGAACTGGCTGCCATGCAAAGAAAAAATACGTCATTGCATAGGTCTTCTCCGTTAAAAGTGGTGATAGGCATGTATAATTTTTCTTCTTTTCAGGCTCGACCCAAAGGCGAGGGCCTGACCCCTTATCAGGGAAAAAAGAGGTGTTTTGGAGAGTATAAATGTCCAAAATGCAAGAGGAAGTGGATGAGCGGGAACTCCTGGGCCAACATGGGACAAGAATGTATCAAGTGCCACATCAACGTTTACCCTCACAAGCAGGTAATGCATCAGAACACAGGGCATCAGGAGACTGGGACAGCTCCTTGGTCTTGCACATCAAATCTTTACATGTATTCAATCTATGCAATCAAATCCACTTTTTTCTAGCTTGACCATTGAGGCAAGGACTGACTTTTTAGGTGAACTGTTCAAATTTTGGATACATTAGCTGCAGATACCTCTGTCTTATCCTTATATATGCTTAGAAATGGCATAGCTTGTCTGTTTCTCATGTCTTTCTTGGACCTAGGACTAATTGGCAATTTCTGTATATGCAGGTCATTAATTTCCGGTTTCTTTGTTCCAGAGACCTCTGGAGAAGCCGGATGGGTTGGATGTGTCTGACCAGAGTAAAGAGCATCCACAACACCTGTGTGAAAAATGCAAAGTCCTTGGCTACTACTGCCGCCGAGTGCAATAACACATTCAGTTTGCCTAACACACTGCTCCAAAGCTTCACGAAACACACATAGCTACGACAGCTATGTTTTAGTTACTAAAGCTACAACATCTATAGTGCAGTAATGCATCTCACGCTTTCATGAAATACCCTCTGACTCTGGTTCCAGTAGTATCAGTGGAGATGAGTACTTTGTGTTTGCTGGGTTCTTGTAAGCTACTCGGTTTTCATTATGTGAATATTCATTTGAAGTCTGAACTTTGAGCCAACTGTGAATTAAGAAACTTCACTTTCTTCACTTGTGAGCAACTTCTTGGAACAGCTTTCATATAGAGGTTCTTTTACATGTGTGTATATTTCAGAAATAACTTAAATGTTTTTGTATAAAATATGCAAGTCTGCCAAGACGGTTATGCAGTAATAATGTATATCTGCCTCTGTATTATTAGTATTGGTGGGTACATCATTTTTCTAATATATGTTTTAAGCCATACTATTATGTTGAATATTACTCTTTGTGAAGGAATATATTAGTCAACTAACATTAAGTTCTTTTATACTATGTGCTAGTTTATGGGGAAAACACTCGTCAGGTAGTTTGTCGCTCCAAAGTTTTAAATAAATATGCAGTGTAGAAATTTTTCTAATAGTAACTTACAGCAACTGTATTTTGGCACCCAGTGCTAAAAGACTCGCCAAAGTGCTTATGGTCATAATGTAGTATATAACATGTGACAGTAAAAAAAAAGTGAATGTAACAAACAGTGATAAGTGAAGGGTTGCATGTGAGTGGTGCTTTTCAGGGTATTTTTCACTGGACTTGCTAATAAATGAGTATGGAACAGAAATACCCTTTAACTTGTAAACTGTGTTAAATTTAATGTGCCTTCATTTGTATAACCCATGAGATGGATGCTTCTCTATTGAAATATTTGCATTAAAATTTATTTAAACGTGATCGGTTTCTGATGTCATTTCTACATCTCAAGTAAGGATGTAAGCACATCATATCATGAGGGGGGACTACAGAGAATAACTTAATGATATATGGCTTCAGTATCATCAAATACAATCACAGGTAATCTTATAATTAAAAAAATAAAATGATCTGCCTCCATCCATCCTTTGTATCCTCTTGTCACACCAAGCCTGTGTGTTCTTCCTCTTTTCCTCCTGCCTAACAACTCTAAATTTCCACATTCTGTGAACATCAGTCCACCGAAACTCATGTCTAACATCTGTCAGCCTGTCCATTACACTATATACAAGAGATCAATGTAGTTTAACGTGAAGTTAATCCTAACTTCACGTTAAACTCATCTGTCATTCCTATCACATCTCAGTCATTTTGTTGCCCACATACACTTTCTGCTACTCTTTATTTCTTCATACAATACCATAGCTCCTCTTTTTGTACCTCATTGTATTTTTCTACATATACAAATTGTACCTGCTTCTGAACTTCTCCTCAGGATAGTTCAGAAAGAATATTTTTTCCAACACCTCCAATAAAAGGTAGGCACTACTGCTACAAATAGTTTTATTTCAGCCAGTTTGCTGATGTGCAAAATTTAATTTTTAAGGAATTTTTTTTTTACATTTTTTTGACACCTTTGTTAAAAATCACATGTTCAGAAAAGGGTTTTGTTTTTACAAATGTATGCCCCTTTTTTGCAAAATTAGTTCAAGTTTATATTGCTAAATTCACAAGCTTTGTCACATATTAGGATCATTCATTATTTTTGATGCATCAAGTTCACATTTAAAGCAAACACGTGTGTCGGCCATTACTTGAAGTAATACAGCATATCAACACAAAAACCTAAACAAAAAATGTTCTGAAATGATCTACTGTCAGCAAACAGAGATAACACCCTGTTCGCTGACTGAAGAAAGACCCTCTTTCACTCTTGCATTTATTGAAATTACAGCAGGAGATGAGACTACGGACACGTCCACACGGAGTCTAGTCGAGCTGTCCACAGTCTGTGATAGTGATCTTCTTGGAGGTTCGCCCAGTCCGTGAACCGTAAGACTCCACTCTCATGATTACATCCATTCCCTCCTTCACGCTGCCAAAGACAACATGTTTGCCATCCAGCCTAAATGAAGAAGACGCTTATTTTAATATAGCTGCCCTGGATAATGACATGATCCATGAAGCACCTACGGAGTCTGACCGACTCACATTTTATTAGGTGGAGCCACAGACTGATGAAAAAGAACTTCACTAGCTTCATCTCCTGCATTTTATGATGTTTATCAGTACGTACCATTGTGTTTTAGCTGTGCAGATGAAGAACTGGGATCCATTGGTGTTAGGTCCAGCATTGGCCATAGACAAGATACCTTACAATTGAACAAATTCATTCATTAAAGTACGTATTTTCACTTAAGCCACACATCTACACAACATATTATATTATATTATATTATATTATATTATATTATATTATATTATATTATATAGCACACTCAAATATCACCATTAGAAAATCCACCATTTAAAATGTTGCCACCTGGTGGCAGAAGACAAATGTGACTATACCACATCACAATGGAGGACAGCATTGGGTAATTTTCCAGTAAATTGATACAAAAAAACCAAAAAAAAACAATCACAGTAGCCATAATATTTACAGAATTGCTAAATTTAACTTGAGATGCATGCATATCTAATCTGGTCATGGCCCATCTCATTTTTGCTCTGGAAAATTACAATTTACTCCATTTCCTACCAGCAAAACACCAGTCACAAACACTGTAGCCTGAGATTGTACCATCATGTGTAGTATATCACATTGTGCTGTGTATGCATTATATTAGATGCAATGTATTATAACCTGTAAGAGTGTATTTGGTTTTGTACAACCCCATCGTTCTTTTGCTTCCAAAGGAAAAACTGAAATGATGTAAATACTTGCCTGGCCCAGTGTGCTTCAGTTGGAAGTTCTCGTCAGGAAACGTCCTTCCATAGATCGAATTTCCTCCAGTTCCGTTGTGGTTCGTGAAGTCTCCACCCTGAAAACACAAAACGTGTGACTGTAATTGGACCCTCATAGGACACAGGAAAACAAAAGTAGAGAAACATTAAAGCCTACCTGGCACATAAACTGAGGGATCACTCTGTGGAAAATTGAACCCTTATAACCAAAGCCATGCTCTCCTGTGCACAGCGCTCGGAAGTTTTCTGCAAGAGAGCCTTCATGTCAGTGTCTGCCTTCTTATGTTTGAGTCCACACAGCAGACAGAACAGTTACATTAGAATAAAGCACAAGCAAAATCCTATACAGCAGAGTTATTTTTTTCTTAGTCTTTTCAATATTTATTAGCAACCCTGAAATATTTCTGATGAAATCTTCCTAAAAGATGAAAAAGTGTGCCTGTAACAGTGTAAGAATGCCACAAACTGCTCAGTTATCAACAGAACAGAATAAAATTTGCAGCCTTTTTGATGATCATGAGTCTCACCTTTTAAATTTGTGGTTCTAGTTTAAATGTGGCAATCTCCTGTTTTTCAGGTTTTAACATAAAAAAGGTGAATAACAATCTTTTATCTTCTATTGTGACAACACATTGTTATTCTCTTAGAATGTTTCTTCTGGTTTACAAACCAAATAGGCAAGCTTTGGCAGAAAGTAAAAAAAACCTGTTCTAACATAATCAAAGTGCCAACCTGTCGATTCACACACACATTTGGTGTGTCAAGTTAAACTTAGTCAAGTTCAGGCACACCATCATCTTTTCTTTAGGTCAGAGTAGATCAGATACTCGTTCCAGCTTGTTTGGTGTTTAAGGAGGAAGAAAACATCAGTTACCTGCAGTTTTGGGCACGACTTCTGCATTGAGCTGCAAAAGAAGAAGCAGCAGCCTGAAGGGATTTTTTTTTTAATTTTTTTAACTGTCCGCTGAGGACATCGAACTGAAACATTAACATGCAAACTAATACAAGCAGTGTCAACACTTATTTGTAACCTACTCACCTCGAAGGTAACTCTGCCAAGAGGCTCTTTGTCAGCGGCAATGTCAAAGTACACCAGCGGTTTTTTGTTCGCTGCTGCTGGGCCGCTGCTGTACAGACGTGCGGCTGTAAACGCTAAAGAGCAAAACTTTATCCTGTTTGACAGAAGCAACATCTTTATAAACTCACTCTGATGCAATAACTCAACGCAGGTGGACCAACAGTGACCTACAATCACGCTTACATGCGCGAGAGGAGGAAGTTGACTACGCAACCGGAAGCTCTGCTACGTTTCTCGCGAGATTACGCGAGATTTTTTATGCACTCAAATTATGATCATTATTATTGTTGTAGTAGTAGTATTATGCTGCGTGCTGCTCATGTCATTAACGTCATACGTAAAAGAAAGGTTTGTGTAGTCTGTATGGTTCATCTGATCACCATATCGAGTTCGTCTAAAATGAAAATGAATCATTGAATGAATGCGCTATTGCTACAGCCCAATCAAAAACAACGTTTTGAAAATTCAATTCAAAATCTAAAACATCTACACCACGTGAAACTTAAAAATTTGAAACTGGAGACAATCAGTTCGTAAAGTAAAACAGACAGTATTTAATCAGTTTTTCATGTCAATTGTTTTATTTTTTTTTTTTGTATAATGACTTAACCATAAACAATCCCCACCCATCACCAGGATAAAAAGTCTATTATTTTATTATTAAAACCCCAATCATAAAAAATAAACTGCATGGAATAAGTGTGTTGCTGTCACTGTGTAATGTAACCAAATGTTATACATGCATCATGCTATAAGCAGAATATACACACAAATGTCAGAGTAGGGGTCTTTAGCTAATTCACGGAACTCTGGCCATGTGCATGAAACTGCAAACCTGCAAATATTGGACGATATCAGCAGTAGAGCTGGGGAGCAGCAAAGCTTTGGACAGTGAGTTTGTAAAAGCTAGATTTTGGTTTATATGTTGTTTCGCAACCTGCAGCAACGCGGGGCTGTGGAATAGGGCAGATGCACAGTCTCTCTCTCTCTCTTTTTTTTTTTAAATTTCAAAGAGCAGCCACCAGAATATTACCAAGTACAAAAGTGTGATAAAGCTGGTCATTTTATAGGCAGAGAGATAAAAAGCTTCTCTCAGTTGATGCCACAGTGCCAATATCTGATATGGCAGACTTTTTTTAAACACCAGATGCCCTTTCCTGATGTAAACCCCCCCAGAATGTGCATCCCACCCTGTTCTCAAACTGAGGACCATGCAGCTGAACACCTCACAAACTGATTGGAATGCGGGTGCATTCAGTTTTATGCCCATGCAAATTTTAATTTGCAGCTGGAAGTAGTCTCCCACTGGCAAAAATTACATTTTACCCCGATCTTTTCACAGTACATGTACCAGCGCTACTTCACACTGAAAATGAAAAGCTAGGAATGCAGCTTTCCATGTGAAAAACCCATAAAATGGCATTGAAACAGAAAAATGCTAATAATACAATGTAAAATGCGGCATTTATCTACACTCAGCAAAAGAGGAAGCACTCTAGGCAAACCTCTTTCACTTTGGTCATCTTATTGAAATTCACCAGGAAATGAGATTACACAATAACCATATCTACATTAAATCTACTTGAGCTCTCCACAGTCCGTGATCGTGATCTTCTTTGAAGTGTACCCAGTCTTGGAACCAAAAGACTCCATTTTCTTGACCACATCCATTCCCTCCTTTACTTTTCCAAAGACAACATACTTGCCATCCAACCTAAAAGAAAAAGAAACTGCTTACAATTAATGGCTTCAAGCCATTACTGAATATCACTGTGATATGAATTAAAGCCAGTTTGGATGAAATACACAGCTTCATTGGTATCAGCTGTTATAAATATGTTTACGTTTGTCAGTACGTACCAATCTGTTTTAGTGGTGCAGATAAAGAACTGGGATCCATTGGTGTTCGGTCCGGCATTGGCCATGGACAGGATACCTTAAAATTTAACAAACTCATATCCAGTTAGATTAAAATAACCCTTGAATATACCAAGTATTTCCACTTGTGGCACAGGTGCACACAACAGCTTATATTATTTAGCACACTCAAGTATCAATGTTAGAAAAAAGTGTTAAAATGTTGCCATCTGGTGGCAAACTTTGTGGGGACCTCCCAGAGTGATGGGAGCAAAAGTTCTTGTGCAGAGAAGGCTTCTTTATAGATTTCACTAGGCAGTAACTTTGAGCAATGAGGTAAACTGAAGCATGACAAAGAAAAATAAACATGACCTTGAAATCTCAAGACAAAAACGAAGAATGGAACAATATTATGTGAATAGTTTTCAAAATGCAAACTGGTTTAAAAAAAAAGAAGAAAAAAGATTGACAGTGAATGTTACAGTGAAGGACTAACATGTGTGTAATCCTTACAAAAATGTGCAAGAAACTCAGGACATTCCTACAATTTAAGTTAAAATGCACATAATCTGTTGGCTCCATCTGTTTGACTTCGAGTTATGGACATTTCTTATATATTGACATGCTTTCAAGTATTTGACTGAGAAAATCACACAAATGGCCCAAGTTAAATTGGAATCTGACAAAGTGACTTGCACTATAGAGTTGGAAACTTCTGAAAACCAATAAGTAGCACCACACTGTTTTCATTTTCACTTGCAACAGTGGACAGAGGGGGATAATTACCTGGTCCAGTGTGCTTCAGCTTGAAGTTCTCATCAGGAAAATTCTTTCCATAGATAGACTTATCACCACCTCCAAAGTTATAAATAATATCTCCACCCTAAAAAAAACCGCATCACTGTAGTAATATCACAATAGTCCATTGGGGAAAATCAATTACCCCAAAACAAAACAAACCTACCTGACATATAAACTGAGGGATCACCCTGAAGAAAACGGATCCCTTGTAGCCAAAGCCATGTTCTCCTGTACAGAGCGCTCGGAAGTTTTCTGCAGGATAGACTAAATGTAAATTTTTTCCTTCTCACGGGTGACGAAACACACACACACACACACACAGCTTTCGGTAATTTTTCATGTTTGAACAGTGACTTGTTACTGTTAGTTTAGGTCGTCCTGAATGGATTTGTGACAGCTGCTTTACAGACCAAACAATTATGAAGCCAACAAAACAAAACATCTCATCCATCCCTCAGCTCTGATAACAGCACTTTCTTGATATTTTGCTGTAATCTGTGATTAAAAAAACAAAACAAATGATGAAAACAGTAGTTACCTGCTGTTTTTGGCACTACGTTTGCATTAAGCTGCAAAAGAAAAAGAAAACGGCTCACAGCGATTTAACGCATATTTTCAAAGTAAAAGTTATACTTCTTTTTTTTTTAACCTACTCACCTCAAAGCTAATTCTGCCGAGCAGTTCGTTGTCAGCAGCAATATCAAAGTAAACCACCGGGTTTTTGCACGCAGCTGGTGGGCAGCTGCTGCACAAACGTGCGGCCGTAAACACCACAGAACAGAATTTCTTCCTGTTTGGTAAAAGCAGCATCCTAATAAAAGTCATGTTGTGTAGCTACTGCCTTCAAGTATGTCAGCAACCACCCAGAGCCAGCTTAAAAATACGAAGTGGGACGTTTGCTTAGAGAACCGGATAGTCTACTCTAATGATGTTGAGAGGCTTAATTAACATCCCTTAGAACAACTGTTTTACTACCGTGTTGTGTAAAAATGGCTGCTGTGTCAAAAAGCCATGTGACCATGGCTAGAATTATCCAGAACATATACTTTAAACATTAGCTCATTAGAGACTTTAAGTTACTTTAAAACCTGTTTGTTGCGTTTCATAAAAATGTTATTGACTTTCTGCCCACCCAGCCTGTGCGACATTTTTGGATATCTCATTGGTGTTTGCAGCAGTCAAAGTAATTCAGCACAATTGTGAGTTAGCTTATACACATGATTTGACTTTTAAATACAATACAATGGC